TGTAATGCCACGACACTCTACCCAGGGGGACAGCTTGAGGCTCTGTCTCAAAAAAAAAAAAAAAAGAAAAAAAAAGATTTAAACGTCTTGGAACTACACTGTGTTATGCATGAAGGGCAGGCCCTGAGCTATTGGCTGAGATGCACAGATCAGTTGAGTGGATAGCCAAGAGACCTGCAAGGTCCTGGAGGGCCAACCCAAAGATGTTCACTCATTCAGGACCTCTTGGTCAAGTTCTCACAGGTTAGGGCATCCTAGTGCCTGGCACGGGTGTTATCTGCCTCCAGGAGTCTTCTTTATGGTAAGGGAAGCAGAAACGAGAACAAATGCTAATCACACAGTATTATGACAATATTAACATATGTGCAAAGTGCTCAGGGGTCCCAAGTATTGGGACACTGACTTTACAGATAACTACAGGGTGGAGGTCTGAGGGATCCCGTGTGAGTGGAATGGGGGGGAACACTTCTTCAGGGGATGATCCCATGGTGGGGTGGGGCAGTGGCCAGCGTTCTTGCTTCCCTCTCTGGCTTAGGACTAACCTCTTACTGGGGATCTGTTTGCCCACATCTCAAGTGTGTGAACCATAGAATCAGCTCCTGTGTTGACTTTCTGTTTTTCAGGCATCTGACAAAGTTTATCCAATGAAAAGCAGACCTCGCGGATACTGTTTGATCTTCAACAATTATGATTTTAGCATAGCACGAAGAAAAGTGGAAAAACTTCAGAGAATGAAAGATCGAAATGGAACACACCTGGATGCAGGTACAGTAGAATCCACAAGAGAGAAGTGAAATATTTTTCATACCTTATTTGTTTATTTTAAATTTTTACTTATTTATTTATTTTTTGAGACAGAATCTTACTTTGCCATACTTGGTAGAGTGCGCTGGCATCACAGCTCACAGCAACCTCAAACTCTTGGGCCAAGTGATTCTCTTGCCTCAGCCTCCCTAGCAGCTGGGACTATAGGCACCTGCCACAATGCCTGGCTATTTTTAGAGATGAGGTCTCCCTCTGGCTTAGGCTGGTCTGGAACTCATGAGCTCAGCCTCCCACAGTGCTAGGATTACAGGCGTGAGCCACTGCGCCCGGCCATTAATTTTTATTTTTTTCGAGTCATAGTCTTAACTCCTCAAGTGTTTTCCCTGCACTTTCTTCTAGTATTTTTATAGTTTCATGTCTTAAGTTTAAATCTTTTAATCCAGTGAGACTCTATCTTACTTAATGGTGAAAGGTATGGGTCCAGTTTCAGTGTTCTAGAGGTTGCCAGCCAGTTCACCCAGCACCATTTGTTAAATAGGGAATCTTTTCCCCGCTGAATGTTTTTAATTGTCTTATTGAAGAACAAATAACGGTTAAGTAGCTGGGTTCATCTCTTGGTTCTCTATTCAGTTCCATGCATCTACCGCTCTGTTTTTGTGCCAGTACCATGCAGTTTTGATCACTATCGATTCATAGTATAATCTGAGGTCTGGTAGCATGATTCCTCCTGATTTGTTTTTATTTCTGAGTAATATCTTGGCAATTCAAGGTTTTTTCTGATTCCATATAAAACAAAGTATTATTTTTTCGAGATCTTTAAAGTATGACAGTGGAGCTTTAATAGGGATTGCCTTAAAATTGTATATTGCTTTGGGTAATATGGACATTTTAACAATGTTGATTCTTCCAAGCCATGAGCATGGTATGTTTTTCCATTTGTTAACATCTTCAGCTATTTCTTTTCTTAGAGTTTCATAGTTCTCTTTATAGAGATCTTTCACGTCTTTTGTTAGGTAAACGTCCAGATATTTCATCTTCTTTGGCACTACTGTGAATGGAATAGAGTCCTTGACTACTTTTTTACCTTGACTATTGTTGGTATATATAAAGGCTACCGATTTTATGAGTGTTGATTTTGTAACCTGAGATGCTGCTGTATTCCTTGATCACTTCTAAGAGTTTTGTAGTAGAATCCCTGGTAGAAATTGTGGATTCTTAAATAACATTTTCCAGTGTTAAAACTAGCCAGAAATTTCTTTTGTTCAGCCTACTTAAGCTAAGATTGAGAATGTACAAGTTGAATCAAAACATAACTTGTGTTGTGTCAATATAAAAAAGGACTTCAACTAAAAATAATAGTAAAAATCATCTCGCCCAACCATGGAGATACTAATAATTTTGATTCGAACAAAGAATTTTTGAAAATAGTATTTATGACACACGGCATCAGCAGTTGACTATTTTATAAGTGGATTGATTAGAAAATTAGTGTAGATGGATTATAATTAGCAAGACTCTTATGGTTCCTGTTAACATTTGATTTGATTATTTAAGCAAACCTATTCTAAGGTTTTAAAAAGCCACAGAGCTTAAGCCCATTCACTGTGTCATTTGTCATCATGCACTTGGTATTAAAAAAACCTTCAGGCCTTTAATTTTTATTCATTAAATATTTAAGAATTTCAGTTAAAATTTGATTTATTTGATTCTATTTCTGGCCATTCATTTTTGGTTTTCTGGCCCATGATCCTCCAGTCTCTGGCTGGCATTTGAGCTTGCATGGACTACTTTTCTGTTCCTGTTCTTGTACTCGATGCTAAATGAGTAGAAGTAGGAGATGCAGCCTTGTGAGTCATTTCTTCTGAGATGTGTCCCCCCAACTCCATTCTGCTCCAGGGCTTTGCAGACTACTTTATAACCGTGTTTTTTTTTTTTCCCATTAACATATCACACTTTTGAAAGAATCAGAATTTTCCTCCAGAACCACAGTACTAGATTAGTCTTGCCAGAGTTCTTCTAAATCAACAAGGGTCCATTGCAGTGCAGTTATTTTTCTCTATGCCTAATGCTAGATGAGCTCTGGACTGATTTATAGTGAGCACTGATATGCTGACAGGGACAAAATGCTAGAGAAAAACTAAAAAAGAGGGTGGGTGCAGTGGCTCATGCCTGTAATCTTAGCACTCTGAGAAGCCTAGATGGGTGGATTGCTTGAGGTCAGGAGTTTGAGACCAGCCTGAGCAAGAGCGAGATCCTGTCTCTACTAAAAATAGAAAAATGAACTGGGCGTGGTGGTGGGCGCCGGTAGTCCCAGCTACTCAGGAGTTTGAGACAGGAGGATTGCTTAAGCCCGAGAGTTTGAGGTTGCTGTGGGCTGGGACACTATAGCATTCTACCAAGGGTGACAGAGTGAGACTCTGTCTCAAGAATTAATAAATAGGAAAAACTAAAAAAGGAAATTCCAGGAATTATACCACAGGAATAGAGACAATAGCTAATCTCATGTTTCAGACAATTTTGAGGCATTGAAATAAAGCAGGAGACATGATTGACTTGGAACAGAGAAAGCTACAATCTTATTTGATTACAGAAGAGAACATAGAAAAGCCACAGACTCATTTATCCCACAGAATGCTGGAAAACTTTAGGAATTAGAAGTACAAAGTGTAGGTGAGGCGATAAACTGAAAATAGGAAGATTCTTTGAAAGCCTATATTGGGCACAATGATACCCTCAGATCCATACCCTTATCTCATAGAGCCAACAACTATACCTATTCTACTATGATAAGGAACAGGAAGTTTATTTTCTCATGAAATTGAACCAGAGAGTCTCTACATGTGGGGATATCAGGCCCAGCAAAGGTAGCAGTGGAGCATCTCACTGAGGATATAGAGATTAAAGAAAATTCCACCAACTGGTGGTATTAAGTCAGATCTCTATCCCAGCTTTGTTTTAAAAACTGTAGCAGATGTGGATTCTCCTCTGGAGAAGCTGAAAGCCCAGCTAAAAGATCTGCAGATAATTACATCTGGGGGAGTCTCCTGAGGAAATGGTAAGCTCCCCATAAATAGCAATAGCAATCTTTTATTAAAAACACTTTTTCTGATTATGTAAGTAATATAGTCATCTATTACATTGGTTTAATAGTAAGCCTAAGTCATAGTTTACCCATCTTGTAAACTAGCTCTCTAACCATTAACACTCTCTCCTTTCTCATTTGCCTCAAGATTTGGGAATGTTTTCACCTGGTGGCAATAAATAGTAGAAGCCTATAGAATTCAGCTACTATAATAATATAGAGGGTCTTGTTCATTAATTTCTGGTTTAAATACTTTCTTTAGAGATAGGGTCTTGCTCTGTTGCCAAGCCTGGAGTGCAGTGAGTAGTAGTATCATAGTTCACTGCAGTCTTGAATTCCTGGGTTCAAGTAATTCTCCTGCCTCAGCCTCCTCAGTTGCTGGGGCTACAGGAATGTGCCACCACGACTGGCTAATCTTTTTATTTATTATGAAGATGAGATCTCACTATGTTCCCCGGGCTGGTCTGGAACTCCTGGTCTCAAGTAGTCCTCCTGCCTCTGCTTCCCAAAATGCTGGGATTTTAGGCATGAGTTACTGCCCAGGGTCTCTGATTCAAATTGTTATCTATCTTATCATCTTTCAGTGATAAGACCACTGTTCTCTCCAGCTCAAGGCTGTGCTCTGGGAATTATCATGTTATAACTGACTTCTAAAATTTCTCTCTTCAGAGGCTTTGAACAAAACCTTTAGTGAGCTTCATTTTGAGGTGGTACTGTATGAAGACCAAACAGCAAAACAAATCTGTGAGGTTCTGAAATCCTACCAAAGCATGAACCACAGTGACAAGGACTGCTTCATCTGCTGTATTCTCTCCCATGGAGACAAGGGCATCATCTATGGCATCGATGGAGAGGAAGCCCGCATCTATGAGCTGACCTCTTTTTTCACTGGTTCAAGATGCCCTTCCCTTGCTGGAAAACCCAAAGTCTTTTTTATTCAGGCTTGTCAAGGGGATAATTACCAGAAAGGCATATGTGTTGAGACTGACTCAGAGCAGCACGAGGCCTATTTGGAAATGGATGTAGCATTCCAAAATAAATATATCCCAGATGATGCTGACTTCCTGCTGGGAATGGCTACTGTGAACAACTATGTTTCCTACCGGAGTCCTGCAGAGGGGACCTGGTATATTCAGTCACTTTGCCAGAGCCTGAGAGAAAGATGTCCTCGGTAAGTCCTGCCTACCCAGCCCTCCTCCGTGTTGTACTATCTGGCCCCTTCCCTGTCACCACTACTATATATCCATATTCATAGCCCCGTAGAAAGGGATTCATGGATGAAGCTATATTAACAGATTAGAGAAGTGTCCGGGGAGCTGTGGGTCACATAGCTACACTTCCTAAGTCAGCTGAAAAGTGGGAGAATGGGAAGTGTTAACATTTCTAGTTTGTAGGTGGAAAAACTGATATATGTTTTTGCTTTATTCAAGTACCTTAAGAATGATCAGAATCACATAGCTATAAAGGACAGTAAAGTCATATAGCCCAGCTCTGTGCTTAGGCAGAAATATGACTGAGCCACCAACTGAACTAGTTTCAGAAATCTTCTAAGAAGATGGCAATCCATTTTGATGTTTAACTTCCTGTAGTGCTGTCAAAAGTTTTCTTTTTTCTTTTTAAAGATAGGATCTTGCTCTGTTACCCAGGCTAGAGTGCAGTGGCATCATCATAGCTCACTGTGATCTCACACTCCTGGGCTCATGCCATCCTCCTGCCTCGGTCCTTGCCTTCCAAAGTGCAAGGATTACAGACTTGAACCACCATGTGTGGTCAACAGTTCTGTAATAGGTAACCAACCTCAAACCCTCTTTTGCAAACCAGGGAGGGGAAGGAGAAATAACTTGAGTGGGAATGATGGGGAATGAGAAAGAAAGGCACGAGAGACAAAGATGGGATCAGGGAGGTTGGAGCAGCCAAGACTCCAGCCAGCACTGAATTGCGGAAACAGCTTTATTAATATAGTATCTAATCAAAGTAAATCTTAACACCTGGGGTAAAGATTAACTTTGAGGATAGACTGTGTGCTTGCTGATAATATGGAAAGCATGCATGAACTACATGACTTCTGGTAAAGGAGAAAAGAATGTTTGTTAAAGGAAGAGAAGCAGCTGGGGGTTATTTCCTGAACATCTCCCCAGGCTGTGGGGCCCTGCCATCTCACAGCCTGAATTCCACACCCTGCTGGTATATTGTGAGAGCTAGGTGGCAAAGAGTAGGAATCTTTTGGTATTTTGACTAATTTAGCCTGCTTTGAAGCCAAAAATTGTGGAAAAATACACTTCCCTCATTTATTATATCATATGCTTCCTTTAATTTTATGATTTCATATGTCACAGTTCACCCAAACGCACACATAGCTGACAGATGTGTCACAAGGAATCTTCTCAGGTTCATTCCAGCTCTGTATCTCATTATGTTTTGAGTGTATGAAGAGTGAGAATCTCTCATGGTATGTACAGGGTGTCCATAAAGTTCGTGTGCAATTTACTATGTTAAACTATTTTTTTTTTTTTTTTTT